TGGTGCCCCATTGGGCAAGAAAGCTCTTAGTTCATGGGATTTTAAATTTCCCGCGGAAAATATTCGCTACTGCGGTCTTTATCCGCGTTCGTGGACCATATTTCAGTTGCCATGTTGCAACATTTCCCTGATGTGTTGCCAGGTGTCGCCGGTGATTCCTCAAAATTATCAGGTATTCTTGTTCCCCATTATTATTTTAAGTACTTTAATGTAGGTGGGTCTGCCTATGAGTTCATGACCCTGTCTGACCAGGATTCAACTCTACAAGATATTGCTTAATCAACGAAATGAGAAAATACATTTATGTTCTGACGTGTTCAAACCTTATTCAGTCTTAATCTTGTTAAGTGACCCCTTATGCATCTAAGAACAAGGATAAGCTGCTATCGTCCTAGAAACGACAGCTTTTTGGAATTGGCTTAACTGTGGAAAGTTTGGTGTAGTACACGGTTGACCGTTTATACAATAGGATTTTGGTTAAGTTGTATTTATTGTTTTGGTTTGTTGTCTAAGTATAACAGTAAAATTATCAGTGAATATCCGCGTTTCAGCAATAATTCATGTTAAGTGACAAAAGTAAGTACATGTGTTTGGTCCGTTGTACATGCAGTTTTATGAGCCAAGATGTTGTTGATGTTGTGTCATAAATTTAAGCATAAAAACAACTCTTTTTACAGTGTGACTATGATAATTCTGTTGGGTTCTTGTTTATCAATTCACATCAAGCAATTATTATTAAAAAAAAGCCCTAGATTTCACAGAAGTCATCTACTGCCAACAAATACATCTGCACCAGCCGAAGACCAACAGCCTTTCTTTCACTAAGGTTGTAAGATATGGGCTGAAATGTCGGTTCGGGTCAATCAATTAATAGATGGCTTGTAGCCTGTATAGTTACATTATTTTATGCTGTATTTCATTATTGCATTTTATTTTCTATATATCATATTAAATATTTTTAGGAGTCAAGCTATCCTGTGACTGTGTTTGCCTGGGATATTGAAAACGAAGAGAATCGAGACTTTGAAATCAGTATTACATTCACGTTTCGAAACGGTACCGGTGATGAGCACTGGAAAAAAGAAGGCCCCTGTTCCTGCTCTAAGTTTGAAACCAGTGAATGCGACCAAGTGGCGGGAATTTGTTTGCATCATGCCATTAACGGCATGA